AGAGAGCGAGATAAAGAAGAAAAAGAAAAAGAAGAAGAAGAAAAAATCTATTAAATTCATGGATAATTGATAGCGTAATAAAGAATGGATTTTGTTGTATTATTTTTCAATATGACATTGGAACAAATGGTATAGAAGGAAATTCAATAAATTCAGCGCCAACATAGACATTACGTATGCCCTTACCTATCGATGATGTTGTTCCTATACGTGGAGTTTTACTTTTAAAAACGAAGCTCGTCGAGTAGAGGAAATACTGCACGCCTCGGTGAACAGTTTTGATGAGAAAATGAAATTGCCAATTATTATAGACGTTATCGATTAATCAAAGAAAAAGCCATTAATAGCCAACTTGAAGAAAATAAACAAATAAAAAATAAAAAAAAAAAAAATGATAATGATAAAAGAAAAATGAATAATGAAGGAAAAGGGAAAATGAAAAGAAATGTAAAAATTTCTTAAACGATCTAGTCAACAATTGCTGACAGTGACAATTGTGCTTTCTACTGTTCTACGATTCGTGACATTTCAATTCAAACAGGTTTGAACAGGAATTTCTATGATGAGCAATTTGGGACATTGGTTGCGTTCGGTTACCTTGGAATTACAATTTCTGGAATATTTTACCCGTTGGCCAGTTAACAAGTCCTACCTGGTAATTAATATTATGTCGGCCTCACCGCCATTATTTGCCAACGAGCTGCGAAAATACCAAACATTTAACGTCACAATCATTTCGCAGAAACGTGCAATTATTACAAATGCATCTATTTTCTCTCCCCCTCTTTATCATTATAATAATATGCGGTATAAGACAAATTATTACGTGTCAATTGCGAGTCGCTGACTTATCACATCAAGATTAGCATTTATGATATTATGTGCCGCTACGATATTTATCAATTTAAAACCATCGATTATGTCCATACGCTTACGTAACGCATTTTACTGATTAAATGTTATGATGAGCATTCCTGATATGATTTCTATGTTATCTTATATTATAATCTACCTAATTAAGATTAATTTACCATTCCATGTTCTCCAAAATTCTTAAAAATAATTCACGCTTTATCGAGACTATTAAATTATCCACGCATAATGCAAAATTTTTTACTACTCTACTTTCCACGAGTGTAAAATAGAGAATTACGAATTACGAATTACTAGAATAATTGGGAATTGTCACTCAACTGTAAAGATATGTCAGTCTGGACAAATTATAATTGTCACTTTCCCTTGTGTTTCCTTAATCACCTGACTCCTTTACACTAAACGATTTTATAATGAAAATAAAAAAAGAAAGAAAGAAAGACAAACAAACATATTTAGTTCATTATAAAACGGTAACATTAAATTATAATTTACAAAAATTGACTTTTATAATATTATTATCAATGACGAATGAACCATCACATTACCATTCATTCGATTATTTCCATTAGCCGGCGAATTTCCTTTTTAACTACGACATGCGTATTACCTACATACGTGCGCATCATAAATAAAGGATGAAACATTAATTGTAGAGTATATGGTTTTGTTTGTTTTTATTTTTTTTTTTATTTCCATTTTCTTCACTTTATCTAAATCTTTATATATTTACTTTAATTGGCTAAACTTATGAGTTTAAAACAAACGAAATAATATTGTTGAGTATTTAAACTGCCAACAACTAGTGACAATACAAATATGAGAAAATATATATTTGTTTGCGTATTTTCTGGTTTACAAATTTTGAAATGTTAAACATCTCAATAGATTTTAAATAATAATTAACGAGGGAACAGCGCGTGTTACGGTTCATAAATTTTAAAAACCTTCTAAGTAATTTTAGTTAACAACTGGGTTTGCTAAAGAATACCCCCCCCCCCCCCCATTTAAACAATTACGAACGATGTCACGACAATTTATAGACAAGACATTATTACTTGTAATATTTCCCTATTTACATTAATATACATATACATATATATGTATTTGTATAAATTGTTTTTGTAAAACGAAAATTTATATAAATAGATTTATGTAAAGAAAAGGAAACACTGAACCAATCGATATATATTTCTAGGCAAGTTTTCTTTTCCTTCAACGACTTCTCTATTATGTTAAGTAAACTAATTAAGGTTGCAGTCAATTAATTCTCCTTGAATATAATTTTTTTTTTTTGCCTTTGCGTTTTTGTGTTTGTTTCTATTTTCTTTTTTTCTTTTCGTAACATCGAATGAACGCAAAATACCTTTCATGGCCTTCAAAAAAAAAAAAAAAAAAAACTCTGTACGGTGTACAGATAGCTTTACCTTTTGTACATATAAATTCTGCGAGTCAAAGTCATAAAATAAGATGGAATAACGAAAATTTCAATTCTATAGATGCTTCATTAGATTTCATTAGACGCACACGAGCATTCCATATCTTATTATTATATATATCTTTTTTTTAATGTATTGTCACGTACGCGATTAACTCTGGCTTCCATAACCACGGCGAACGAAAGGGGGAAGAAATATAAGACGCGAGAGCGGACAAACTCATCTAAATGCGCATTCACATCCTCACGCGTTTACCTGGCCTCGAGCCCTTGAATGTATGCAGCAGCATCACACCGACGACTTGGAGTTGTGTGTGTAGAGAGAGAGAGAGAGAGAGAGAGAGAGAGAGAGAGAGAGAGAAAGAGAGAAAGGATTTGGAAAGAGGAAAAGATTGGCCTTTGGGATAACTCGTTGACAATTTTTTATTGGGGTTTTGAGGAGTGGGCCCGTTGGTAGGAGAGTGAAGAAATGCCAATGGCGATTACGGAGGTCAAGGAGTAGCGTACGAAGACTTCGTACTCAATCAGCAAATAGCAGTATTATTATCAGGATGTGTAATGTTCTCATTCGAGAAGTCGCGTTAATAAGATTGCGTCAAATTCGCCTACCAATCGATTATTATTAAATGAATTATTGTAGGGAATAAATAGCCGGCAATGGTCGTGGTCCGATGAGTTGGCGTAAGTAAGGTAATGAATCAATTATAGGTTTTCCAGATAATTATAGGCCGATGTCAATATGACAAACGACAAGTCTTATAGACTAATAGCCATAGGAAATATATCGTACAGGCAAATCCTTTTAAACGAGACTATTAAAACGGCTTTGACATTTTGCCATTTGCAATTTAATTCGAACGTTAGATCGACCATCTGATTAATTCCAAGTAAATATTGAATTTTTTGCTCGCGCTTATCAGGAAGAAAAAACACGCTTAATTATATCAAATTATAGACGTTCTTTTTGTCCATTATTATCTTTGCGTTATATATAATTCACGCGTGTTTATGTCTGTTTTTCCTTCTCTTTCTCATCAATCATTGTTATGAAAAAGACAAACCAAAAAAACAAAATCAAAAAAAAAAAAAAAAAAAAAAAAAAAAAAAAAAAAACAGAGAAATTTCGTCGATCTCTCGTAGAATTAGGAAGGATGATTTTATTATCAAAACTTACTAATCCTCTTTACGATAGCTCGTAGCAATTATAAATTGCCATTGCAATTGTCGTCGATGTTACTCGACCTACGGTAACGCAATTTCCCCGGCACTCGAAAACTCCAAATTACCCGCCCATTTCCTCAAGCATAAGATTTTCTCCACCAAGAATGCAGCAAACCATGCTTAATCATTAGTCGATCGTACGCTTATGGAGAATTCGTCCGCGGCAGCTGGCAACCCTTAAACGGCCTCATTCCAGTTATAAAGAACAAGCTCCGGTGATCGATCACCTACCCCCCTTCGACTTAACACGCTTTCCAATTTCTTCCCCTTCTAATATCCATTGGCTCGGTCTGCTCGCAAGGACACATTACCAACCTAACCTAGTTAACATGCGCGCACACACACGTACGTCTCGATATATCAACAGAATAACGCTATCTCGGCTTATCTCGATTCACCATTAAGTGTGGCGTTAGAACGCGAGAGTTCCCTCGTGAAAGCCCTGCTTGTTGGAGTATAAATTTGCGTCATGCGCGCCGTAAACGATAGTAGAGAGGCAGACACTCGTGTCCCAACATCGGCACATGTCGTCGTGTCGTTGGATTTGGAAAATAGTGCGAACGTTGGGATATTAGAGTCACCGAGGTACAGCAGCAGCGTCAAGCTTAAAGCCCCGCTGGTCATATTTGATTATTGGCCGCGACATGGCCATGATGGATGCTTGAATGACATATGAAGACGTCGTCACGGTCGAGACTCCAAGTGCCAGGCGAGAGAGGGTGACGTTTTGAAAAGCTGCGATAATGGAGGAGTACGATACGCCAAGAATTCTCTCCATCCAAAGTCACGTTGTCGCGGGCTACGTTGGTAACAAGAGTGCCACATTTCCCTTGCAGGTATGGCATTGTACTTTGCTACTCGTTAATCGTTAATTAGTGGAGGATTGCGAGCGTTGGCCAATTAGTTTGACTGGTTACGTATTACATTCCATTCCCACTAGGTCATCGTGGGTAGAGCCTGTTTTAACACTTTAGTCGTGTAGTATGGGAAGTGCTTTTACGTTTCAATGTTTGACTAATTTCTTTCGATATTATGTTGTAATAGATGGACAAGTTGGAGTGGATCATGGAAGAAAGCTTGAATGTCAAAGAATGCAGGTGGTGTAGCTTTTAATGTTCAACGTTACTGGTGTCGATGAAAAGATAGTTCATTGTCATATTGACGGTAGCGCTTGTATTTGGACTTTATGAGGCAACTTGTGGGCTGTTGTCGACTAGTGTCGAAACAAAATTATTTAATAATACAGTGGGGATGAATATTGTAGATGTCGTTTAAATTGTTAACAGCGTTAAGCAAATTCTATGTATGATAATTTTAAGTCGCTGTTTTATAATGTAATTGTATGTCGTTGTTGTAGCTTCTAGGATTCGAAGTCGATGCCATAAATTCGGTTCAATTATCCAATCATACAGGCTACAAAGTTATAAAGGGTCAAGTGTTGAACAGCGAAGATTTAGGTAAGTATTATTAAACAGCCATTTATTATGTTAATTTATTTCATTATATATATATATATATATATGTGTGTGCGCGTGCGTGCGTGCGTGTGTATATATAGCGAAGCAATTTCTTGATATTACACGAATAATTATTTCTTTACGTTTTAGTGGATTTGATGGATGGCCTGATCGAGAATAACATAGACCATTATACTCATTTACTTACAGGCTATGTTGGCTCTGCTTCGTTCCTAAGACAAATAGCTCAAGTAGTTCAGAAATTAAAAAGCAAAAACCCAAAACTTTTATATGGTTAGTTGTGCTCTCGACCCAAACGAAAATATGCCATTGTATTTACTAATGAAAGATGATATTCTTATTTTACTAGTTTGCGATCCTGTTATGGGTGATAATGGTAAAATGTACGTTCCCGAAGAACTGAAAGAAATTTATAAAAATGAGATTATTCCACTCGCCGATATTATAACACCAAATCATTTCGAATTAGAGTAAGTGTCGCAAGCTTCTTTTGCCTCAAATTCACATCCAGATGGAAACTCGTTTAAATAAATGGCATTATTCTTTTAAGGCTTTTACTGAATAGGAAAATTCATACCTTAAGTGAAATAAAAGATAGCTTACAAGAGTTGCATAAATTGGGTATTAGAACAATCGCTGTTTCGTCAACCTATCTAGATGGAAAATTGATATCCATTGTCAGTTCAACTACAGGTACGACAGCTTACTTGGTATATATAATTGTCCCTTATTCTCCCGTGCTCTACGTTAAGTATTAAATGGCTTTATCAATTCATTTAGACGAAGTTATTAAAATTGAGATACCGCAAATATCAGCAATTTATACAGGCTCGGGTGACTTATACGCTGCCTTATTCCTAGCTCATAGTTATTTACAAAATAATTTGAAATTAGCCCTTGAAAATACCATAAATTCGCTTCACGACGTTCTTCTCAAGACTTACGAATATTCTCTAGGTAAGGCGATTTAGTATTTCTAGATGAAATTTATATTTGATAATATTGATTTATTAATGTTTTAGATATTAAAAATAGGAATATGCAGGACGTGAGGAAAATTGAACTACGCTTGATTCAAAGTAAAAGATTTATTGAAAATCCCTCTAATAAATTACAAGCTGAAATAATTTAGATACAGATTTACATAATAATATTGGAAAGTATAAAAAAGGAAAAGAAAAAAATTTCTACTAAATTATAGATGGCTATCCTGCAGGATTGGAAAATGTTACCAGGCGATATCGAATCTATATATATATATATATATATATATATATGTATTCCAGTGGATTGTGGATAAATATCATCTATTATTAATCCATTATTAACATAAATATTAAGTTTTCCCGTTTGATATTACTAAATTAAAAATGGCGAATTATAATAATAAAATTAATTAACAATAGCTTTTAATAATGCTACGTTATAAAAGAAAGTTATTAATTGAAAAACGTATATTGAAATGAGATATATCAAAAGTAATACTATTTCGCGTTGTTGTTGTGCATACGATGTTATTTGTACAAAAATGTTGGACATTTATAATCATAATTATAAAGCTTGATGTTGAAGGCAATAAGTTGACATCCACGTGGGTCGAATCATTAACTTTCATTTGCACTTATAATTTCTACGTCAGTTATCATAAGACTCATTTATGCCGATTGGGCATGTATTATTTAAGAAGCTTCCAAGGATATCTTCCATAATAAACAATATATATATATATATATATATAATTTAGAGTCGATGAGGATAATGAGCGGAAAAAGTGCGAAATGGTCCTTATGCTTCTTACAAGCGATTCGACATTATGACGGAAGAAACATTAAATACTGATGTTTTTCAAAAACACAATGGAATATCGTAAAGGATCATTTTTATTGTATAATAGCGAAATTTCAAATTTATGCATCATAATTTTGTATTTTCTTGCTATCTCGAATACTTTGTGAATCAGTACTTTCTGATAATTTATTGTATAATATGTTTCAAACGTTGAAGGGAATATAATTTGTTTTAATCATAGAATTGAAGACGATTACCAGCAAATCTTTTTTTCATATTCTTCCGCTTGGTAATTATTACATATTTGTGTAGGATGAAAGTTATCTTTTTCTCTGTCTTTTCTTTCTAAAAGTTTGTAGAAAACAGAATGTGCAATATTGTATGAAAGATGTACGTTTATTTCGAGTTGCTTAACGAAGGGAATATAATGATATAAATTATAAGTATTTGGTAAATTATACAATCGTAAATGTTGAATGTGTTGAGTTTTTGTGTTTGAAAAAAGCAATTGAGAATTAGTTTTTCTTGCCATGTCAGTTTGGTAGTGAAAATAATTTTTAAATATATTGTTAAAAAACGTTAGTAATGTATACTATTTATGATTGTCTATGTTAATTCTAATATGAATATATAAAAATTACAACGTCACAATTACATAGAATTATTTAGGAAATACATGAATATCGACCAATAAGTGTTATTAGTGTGAAATCATGACCAAAAGCTTTTTTAATTAAATATTAAATTTATCATATTACACTTTACTCTAATGTATTTTATGAAAATATTGAATATATTACTATACCGGACCAAGCTTATGTCTTCCAATGTTTGATGTAATTATTGTTAATTATATATATATATATATATACGAAAGCTCGCGAGCATTTTTGTGGGCGTAAATGAGTGTATGAATATGTATATGCATATGTATATATATATATGTATATATATATATATATATATATATATATATATATATATATATATATATATATATATATATATATCAATAGTAAGATTATACGTAAGTTATATAATTTATCGTTGTAAACTGCAAGATTAAAGAGATCGTTGAAACTTTACATGTCGAAAGTTATTGTTACTCTTCGCTTCCTGTCCACCTCAACGAATTCAATCGCGTAATTCCTTGGCGATTCACTTGCGCATTCGAAGCTACCGAACGGACCGACCGCATAAAAGAAAAAGCGTCTAAAATCATCATCGTGGCCTTTCACGTGCCTGACGTAATAAAAGAAAAAGTGTTCCCGAAAAAAAATACAAGCAGCCTCGGTCCTCGCTTCACGCTTAAATGGGTAATGGTCGTCGTACATGCACACGCATACGCACGCAGCACACGACAAATAGATTTGGGAGAGAGTATTCCCGGCAGTCGTTGGACAGGTGCATATTGGGCGTGTGTATGTGTCCACGTAAGGCATTTATTCAGTGAGAAGGGCCCGTCGGCGAGCGGCTGCGAGTCACGACGAGCGGCGAGGGGAGGGCTGCCGGCTCAGGAGAAGGTGAAATTGACGTAAGAAGCGAGGGAGAAGAAGTGGAATAATCACACTTACGTAGACTCGGCGGCCACCCTCTCACGAAAACGGGCGCTTATCGCTCGGCTCCGCGAGAACGAAAGAGAGGTTAGCCGTCTCCTCCTCCCCCCTCTCCCCTCCCACCCGCCCCGAAAGGCCCACGATTTCGAGAGTAAGAGTGCCCTTAGGCCGTAAGCGTGCGCGCACCCATGCGGCACGGCGAATGCGCGCGAGCGAGAGAGCGCGAGCACGTAGGACAGCAACAGGTACATGGTGAAGCCGAAGCGACCAAGGGAATCGCGAGCGCGTGCGCGCGTCCTATAACGTTCGTTCAACTCGCGTTCTCGACGCTCCCGAATGACCTTCGACGACAATGGCCCCCGACTGCTGCCGTGGCCCGTGTCGGGGGTGCGGGCGCGGGTCCCGGTGGTGGGGGGGGGGGCGCGACGAGGACGTTGACGGCCAGCGGTGGCTGCGAGTCCCTTGACCCCAACCGCTCATCGAACGATGGCTACAGCAGCAGTTGTCACCGTCGCCGGCGCTGGCCACCTGCTGCCAACACGGAAGCCGAAAAAACCTCTGTCCGGAGCGAAGCAGCGTGGTGGGAGAAGAGGGTCTTTGGAGAGCCGAAGCCCGGATGTACATACTTGGGAGACGGGCGCTCACGCATTCGCTCGGTCGCGGAACATCTTCAACCTAATACATAATTGCACTATAATTGCAATTTGCGCTACTTAGATCGCCTCTATGAGGTAATATTGACGGAGGCGCGATAACGGGCGTGGAGGCGAATGTCCGGTCGACGTTATTGGCGCGAGGCGGGCCTTCGCGTTTCTTTCCCGCGTTTCGCAATTCCTTCAGCTCGTAGTGGGTCAACTCGACGCTCCTCGCGACTTTCTACGAAAAATCCCGCTAAACTACTCGATTATCAATCGACGCAGCCTCGATTCGGTATCGGTCATTCGACGATGGACGAGCTACTGATGATACTGTGATACCATCGGCAACGATCATCGACCAACGACGATTTCTCGTCCTGCCCGCATCAGTTGGCTTAGGATTCCGTGATGCTCCCTCTCCCTCCCCCCCACCCTGTATCTCTCTAACCAAACGTGCGAGCGTGGAGAATCGGGGGCGTTATCACCGAGAAACGCACTCGTATCTTCCGAACGCTCTTTTAACGTCCCTTAACTGCAGCCTTGACTCGGCATGTCATTGAAATTCCAAGTATCCCGGTGAGATGGACAATCATCGGAGGCGTTAATTCCAAAGGCGGTAGTCCGATGGATGAGAGCTGGTGTATCGCCGGGCGTCGGTGTTATAAATGAGCGTCGATCGTATCTCGACGAACTCTCGATCCCCCGAAATAAGCCGAGCCGATGAAAACGAAGACAAAGTGCAAGAATAGGGCGCAAAGGGGCCGAGAACGAGTCCGGCTAGCTCCCCTTTCCCTCCTCCACTACTACTGCCGCGATACACCGTCAACCAAGTGCAATGGGCAGTAACACCCTCGACGACTACTGCCCTTGCGTGCCAATCCCTAGTGGAGTATTTAAATACGTCGATACCTTCCCCGTTGACTTTCCGTAGCGATGACCGTGAAGGAGCAACCGAGCTCGGAGATAAAGAGATAGACAGAGAGAGAGAGAGAGAGAGAGAGAGAGAACGTGTGTGTGGTTCGAGAGGGTTAGTTAGGAGGAGGGATGTGATGGGACGGGATTGGGGTGGTGGGAGGCGAGTACGCGCACGAGGAAAGGGACGCTCTCTGAGAGCGAGATGGACGGATGGATGGGTGGACGGGCGCACGGACGGACGGACGGACGGAGGATGTGGAACAACGGCCCCGAGTAACCTCCATTGGGAAGGTGCGCGGCGCTCGGGTACTGAGCTGCAGCCATCGTTGATTCGGGCGGGGATAGAAGGTCTCCCGCGTCACTAACGCGCCACTATATAATCCTACATAATATCGGGCGCGGGATGGAGGGAGGGAGAGAGGTGAAGGTGGCGAGCCGCCGAGTTTGTTTACCTCGAGTTCGCCGGGGCGCTCGATTTCAGCGGGGCAGAACTACGCGGACGGGACAAAACGATGTCACGTATGCGTCTCTAAAGCGATGCTGCGCCTCCTCTACGGAGCCAACCTACTTTTTTTTCTCAACTCGCGCGACGGCGCGTCCCGATTGTTTTCCAAACGGCGGAATAGGAGCGAGGCGTGCCCGCGCATTCGCTGAGCACCCAGTCGAGCCCTCCTCTCCGCGCACCTCCTCCTTACCACTCGTTAATGGAGCGGCCCCTCGGGTTCTTTAATTCCCGTGAATAATGCCGGAGATGAATGCGATAGGCACGTGATTGAGAGAGGTCGGCCGTGAGTAGAGGGAGAAGCAATGCCGTGGCCAAGATGAGGGAGGGTGCGAGAGCGGCGGTAAGGTCCCTCGCCTGTATATCCATCCATCTCTCTCTCTCTCTCTCTCTCACACACACACACACACACACACACACACACCCCCTCACTCACTCTCCCCCTCTCTAACTCTCTCTCACTCTCTCTCTCTCTCTCTCTCTCTCTCTCTGTTTCCAGTTATCTCGCTCGCACTCGAGCGCGAAGCGTCACGGGGTCGATGCCCAGGCGATATATATATATATATATATATATATATATACATGGAAAGACGGGAGAGGAGAATCTCTCTCGCTCTCGCGGCGGATTTCAAGGTCGGAAGCCAAGGTAAGAGAGGAGACGGAGAGTCGAGAAGAGCGTTGCGAAACGGGCGACGACGAGTTCGCAAAAGGTGGATGAACCGCCGACGATGCGATATGTAATGCCCGAGTAAGCGAGTCGCGCGGGGATCGACGGCCGAATCGGGCAATCCGCGCGCGCGTCCCCGAGGGATCATTGGAGGATCTGCTTACCGATCCTCCCGATGATACGTTGAT